AAGGTGGTGAGAACTTGCTCCTCAGGCAAGATCTTCTGGAGGTGAACATAAGAATTGATGTTCGCCCCCCAGTTGTCCAAGTTTTCTCCCTTCTTYCCACTGTGGGAATCAGGGAACTTGACTTTGACCGGATCCCTACGGGGACGTGCTTCTTCTTCCCTAAAAGCAGCTAATTTGGCACCCTCTATGGCGTCAGTGCAAATTGTGCTCTCCATCCTCGCCTTTACTTTCGTGCCCACGTGCATCATCATTTTGTGTGCGAACTCTCTGAAACCTAGGTGTATAAAGCGCAGCGTCACATCTTGACTTCTGGCAAACTGATACTTCTCTTCCTGAGCCTTCGCCAAATTCTGAAGTTCTATGTTCCTCGCTATTATCTCCATCTTCCCCAGAAAATCTGTTTGTGCCTCCATCTCTACTCTTTGCTCTTTTACAGCTTCCTGTTCTCTTGCCGCTTTGTTGGCTTCTTCCATCCGCTTCTTCTTTTCCCTTGTCAGACGCAACTTCCACTCCAACTTTTTCTCTTCCTACATGGTCTGACGTTTCAAGGGATCTTCCTCTGCTTCCAGCTCCTTCACTACCTCCTCATGTTCCGCCCTAACGACATATAGCATCGCCTCCTCTTCTTTTCCCAGGGACAGATTCGCCACCCACTCTGACACCTTCCTTCCCATCCAAGGGTCCTCCTGCTTTCTGCCACTAGATTCCCCTCTCTTTTTTGTCGTCTTTCTGATGAGGGGCTCTTCTTATTTCCGCTCCTTTTCTTCTTCTTCTTCCACTGCTTTTAATTTATCTTCCTCCTCCCTCTTTAACCTTTCCAATTCTTCCTCTAACTTCTTATTTTTTGCGGCCTGTAGGATCTTAGCCTGCTTTACCACCTCTCTCTTCTCCTTCTTGGCCTTCTGTTCGGCCAAAATCTTCACAGCCTCCTCCTCCTGTTCCTTGGTGTAGGGAGTGGTCCCCGCACCACTCTGAGTCTCTACTCTACACGTGAAAGTGTTCCCGAACTCCAGCGGAAAGAGGAGA